TGGCAGTAGCAAGTTCCTGTACTTGCTTGCAGCAGCAGCAATAATCTACAACTACAGCAATAACCAACAGCAGCAGCAATTCAGCAGCAGCAGCAGCAGCAGATCTATTCCGCCAAGACCAAATACATTAACATTGTCATATACATCACCATGCTAAAATGTTCCGAGAGTTGTCATGATTGAACTACAATAACCTTGCTTACAGCAGCTTTAAAAGTAAAATTCACTGTTACGTGCTCTTTTTCCGTCATTCACAGTGTGTTTCTGTCTGTTGCATGTGTTCAGATACTGTAGTCTTTGCTCTCTGGAGTCTCTGCGGAGCCCTTCATGTGTCAGAAAAGCGAATCATTGCACGTTTCATGTTCAGTAAGCAGTATCTAGCAGTAGAGGACTCGTCTGCTCGCCCCGGCTTTAAAACACAGGTGTCAGCGGTTGTTGAAACCCCCGGAGCCTTATAAAGCGCTGGACAGAGATGTCAGATGCGTTTGACTGCTGCTGGGTGTCAGGCGGGAGATTTAGAGCGGGATGTTGCAGCGCTGCAGGTTCCTGATGTCTTTTCATGATGCTTTCTCTGCTGCCTCAACTGATGATCGGAGAGGTCATGATGAGTCTTTTAGAGCCGTGAAAATCGGCTTTTATGCGATTAAATGCCCTGTTGAACACGATCATGATGATTCCAGCTCCAATATGCCGAAATCGAGACAGTCGAGCATAAAAGGTCCAGTTCGGTTTCTGATGTGTTATAAAATGGAACAAACTGCTGAATCCTTCCAAATTAATTTTATTCATTTGAATTATTTTATTGACTTTTTAACCATATGAGATCTGTCAAATTTCAGATGAGATAAAAAAATGGTTTCTTTGCTCAAAAAAACTGCTATTTTATACTTTATAAATTATGTACAAATATAAAAATATTTATTAAGCTTTCTAGTCATAAAATAGTTTATTAAAAATTTGATGTATTATTAATTATAAATTATATAAACAATTATAATATTTTGCATAAGAAACATTTTTAAGTTTTTAAATAATTTTGTGAAATTTTAGCATATTTGCCCACCATTCTTATTTAAGTTAAATATTGAAAAATTGTAGTAATTGCCAGTTATTTAAAAAATAAATTAATACTTTTATTCATCAGTGAAACTGTACATTAAATTGATCAAAAGTGCCAGTAAAGACATTTATAATATAACAAAAGATTTCTATTTCAAATAAATGCTGTACTTTTGAACTTTCTATTCATCTGTGAATCCTGAAAAATAAAATGCATCACGATGACCTGAACCATTTGATTACCATCTCAGAAAGCCCGACCCAGTATGATTCCCTGTTGTAATAATCAGAAATGTTTCTTGAGCAGCAAATCAGCATATTAGAATGATTTCTGAAGATCATGTGACACTGAAGACTGGAGTAATGATGCTGAAAATACAGCTGCGCATCACAGAAATAAATTACATTTTAACACAGAAAACAGCTATTTTAGATTGTAAAAAATATTTCACAATATTACTGTTTTTTACTGTATTTTTAATCAAACAACTGCAGCCTTGGTGAGCAAAAGAGAGTTCCGACCTCAAACTTTCAACTTATATTAACATGTGAAGCTGCTTGTCTAAAGATCCCAGAATCAGTTTGTGCTGAACTATTATCTCTGAATCTGATATATGAACACTCTTCTCACTATCTCCAGAAGCTGTGGTTTGTTTTGCATCTCATACGTCACAATATGATTCCCTGTTGGGAGTTCTGTACGTGGGATGTTTTTGAACATTCGCAGATGGATGCGTTTTCTGCAGGCATTAGAATATCAAATGAGTCGTATTTCACCTTCTTCTCTTTCTTCTGTCGGTTTTATCGCGTGCAGCAGACAGAAGAGTTTTGTTATGGACTGTGTGTGATTTGATTGTGATTTGTGGGTCTCTCACATCCTCTACCAGCTCCAGATGAGCAGCTTTCCTTCGAAACACGTCTTCACAAGCTAAATAAACAGAGAGTCGTGGCATTACCATGATTTTGCATATGTACTGTGGTCATGGTCATCATTAATGTCATTATTTTACTTCATGTTCTCTCATAATACAGTAGAAACAGAAGAGCATCATCTCTCCGGCTCTGAGATGTTTGCACATTGTTCCTGTAGGTTTGAGGCTTCCCATGAATCAGTGCAGACATGAGTGGGTTTATTCCTGTGCTCTGTTAGTGCTGCTTTCACAACAGCATTTATACAAATCTTGAGCTCAGACCGCAGGATCTGTATCGTGAAGAAGTGTTTCTGATTTTAAAAATATACAGATATGATCAGAAAATATATTGCACTGTATATATTGCGCTGCAATGTAGAAAGATACTACAGCGTTATGATCAGTAAGTCATGGCAACACGCTTTTTTTTTCAACTATTTAACTACTTGTACAAGTTACAACTTTATTTTTTTTAAAGTCATTATGATATAATTAAGTTGAAATTACTTGCACAGACAATTTGATTCAACATACAAATTTAAAGCAACTTTTCCCCCAGTGTACATATAAAAGTAACTTATTTAATTAAGTACATTTATATAAATGATTTAAATGGTAATTTTTCCCTGCTTTATATTTTGCAATCTTTTTTGTTGCTTATTTTTTTCAGATATATGTTTAAATTTAAATGTTATTTTCCCTGCTAGAATAAATATTTTCCCAAATGTATATAAATAATATATATACGTGTATATATACCTTTTTTCCTGCTATATATTTTGCTATTATTTTTTGTCAATTGTAAGGTAAGAATATATAAATATTTGAATAAATACATTTAAATGTTATTTTTGTCCTTGCTAGAATAAATAAATATTTTCCAAAATGTGTATATAAATTTAAATCTAAATAAATAAATATATGTGTGTGTGAGTATATATATATATATATATATATATATATATATATATATAT